CAGTTTTTGACGCTCTGGTAACACTCCTGTAAGGCCTTTCAGAGACTGTTTCAGGTCCAGCACTGTGTCYTCTTCTGACAGCGATGTTATCGTGTACTCCTGTCCACCCCATTTTATTATGAGAGAGAGAGACATCCTTGAAGCATATGTTCAGTATTACTGTCTGAAAAAACTGCTGTAAGAGGGAAACACAAAGATSATGTAAGGAAGAAAGAGGAGAACTGCTCTTTTCAGAAGACAAACCATAAGATCTACTTAAAGCTTTCTTAATTTTTTATTACATTGGACATCAAAGAGCTGTTTGTTTCCCCTGAGCAGATGATAAATGTGTTGAGARAGWGCTGAAACAAWGGRAGAAAGAACAGTGTTAAAACTGGGRCTYTGAGTTCCACTTTGATGTTTTCAGCAATGTCACATTCACATCTGCTGTGTGCTCTGTGCAGGTAGAGCCTGAGCACTGCACCCTCGAGCAGAGCACTGCAGCACCACAAAAATCATTGCAAAGCTCAGAAATGTCCTCTGCAATMCTTATGCAACCAAACCARCCACGGGTGCCTTCACAGATGTAATAACGAAACAGCAAATGTGAAATCCCTAATATGTATAAGCCCATAAAATTAGTTCTGAGCCCAACAGTCCAAATTTGGCCCTGGATTTCTCTAATCCCTTCCACTGTGCAATACCTGCAGTAATACACACCCCAGGTCACATCTCACTGTAGCAATATCAAAGCARGAATTTGAAAACAAAGCCAAAACACACACCCACACAATGCAATTACACCCTAAGAACTGCACTTTCATTGCAGTGCTGACAAAATAACCATAATTATACTGTCTTTAATTTACACAGCATCGTTTACACAAAGTGTATTTAACAGTTTAATCTCACATTAAATACAGCAGAAAAACAAGATTTTTAGCTTAATGCAAAAGGAAGAACATGTTTTTTTGTCTGTTAGGGCTTGGAAACATAGAATCAAGGAGTCAAAGGTATGAAAGGGCTGCTACAGACTGACAGGAGATGAAGAGGCAGCCTCTGCACCACTGATGGTGAAATTGTCCTCAAAAGACTGATATTCAAAGAGAGAGTAGATCTGTGAAAAAAATGGGGTTATCAACCTTCAAGAAATGAATTACACCAAGAAATGCAGGTCTGGCAATTCTAAATATTCTCAGAAGCCAAAACTCTGATTATTCTTCCTTTCTTGCACTGTATTCTTAGAGGCTCTCAGACAAAATACTTCCCTTTTATATAGTAAAGGCTATTGTGAACAAACATCTAACTGTTCAGGCATAGCCACCAAGCTCAGAAGAGATGAGAATTAGTCTATATATGACCTCCTTGCTGAGGATACTACAAGCCTCACCTCCACATTATTGCCTCTTAGAGCCCTGAACACAAACTGAAGAGGAATATTTGAATCACTGGGAAATGAATTAATTTTTTCCCAAAAATTCTCAAATCAGATAGCTACCTGGTATGACATGGTGAAAAAGACTCATGAAAAAGGGGTCTTAGAAGCACTAAGAAATTCTGCTGAGGCTAAGGCTGCATGGCAGTGAGCACTGTTGATACACAGTGTCATCATCATAAATTATTCCTGTCCATAATCCTTARACTAAGTTAGAAAGAAGAGTTCATTGTTTGTTTCCTTACCTGTACCATACAYGTCAAATCATTGTGCAAGGACATGCATAGGGTAAGAACTGTAAGAAAACTTCTCCAGTCTCTGTCCAGTGCTAAACTGAAAAGAWCATCCCTCCAAAGCTGAGCACTTGACCAACCCTCACTCCTTACAGATCTATAGCCCTGTCACGACAAATGCTATGGGAAATGAGACACTTTTATTCCAAGCCAAAACACGAATGGGTCCAAATCAAGGAATATGGAAAAATGGTTTGGGAGCAGAGAAAGACACACGGCTTTCCAAGGTTCTGCCATGGGAGCTGGGTGCTGTGCAGAGCTGRAGCTAATACAGCTTCCTTTGGTGAATTAAATCTTCAGAGCCTTTACAAGATCCTTGGGCCACCAAACCCAACGGCTTGGAAGGCCGCGGCACAGAGGAAGCATTCCAATTGTGTTGTTAATCTGCAGCATTACACCACTTTTTTTTTTTGACGATTCGCAAGAGAGGCATTCGCATTTTTAAGTTCCACTAATCACATAAACATCACCCCCACAAAACACCGAGGAGCACACGGGGCCGCACTCCCAGGGGGCCGTAACAGGTGCGGGACAGGGGCTTGGGGCCGACAGCCGCTCGGTGCCAGCCCGTCCCGGGGCCAGCCTGTCCCTGTGTCAGCCCGCTCGGTGTCTCCTGCCCCGCCAGGGCTGTCCCGACAGCGGCCCGGCCCGGCCGAGAGCGCCCGCTCGCTGCTGCTGCGGCCGCGGGGC